AGGTGTCAGATAGATATGTTGTTTTAATGACTTTGTTTACCCCAGATGCCTATAAGTTGCATCCAAGATGCAACTAAATGTCCCCATCCCATGTTTTAAAGAATTCACTATCGAAGCTGCCATATTTGGGGTCATGAAACTTTGAGGGACAAACTGTAGTATGTGAGAATCTGTGATGTATGTTGTACTTTTAGACTTGCCTGGAGTTTTTGCCAGTTACGTCATTACTAATGCCCATTGCAGAAGCATCTGTCTCTACCAGCCAGCAAGGTGCCACAGTGTGTATCACTGGATTCAGAGTCCGGAGTGCTCACCGTCATGTAAAGGGACCCATTAGACTGCTTTGTTATTGTTGGGGGGAAGGAAGTCCCCAGCAGTATTTATTCCAAAGTTCTCATCTCTGCATGAGAGAATTTGAAGTGCAAAGATGGGAGCAGGATTTATTTAAGGAGATTAAAGAGAGAGTGCACACTCAGAAGTGACTATGGGCAGCCCCACAGGGAGAGAAATGTGCTGCACCCCAATATAGTTGCCCTCTTTATTGGATAGAGGCTAGGGCCCTAACCGAATATACCCATTGGGTGCACGTGATCCTTAGGAAGGTCTTCCAGCATCTCTGTGTGGAGCTCAGTAAGTGCACATTCGTCATGGTGAGTTCACGGTGTAGGAGTCCTAGATGCCTCATGGGAAAGTGAGGGCGTTGACTGGGCGTGGGAGGCGCTAGAGTTCTCGCACTTCAGGACCAAGGTGCAGAGACTGCTGGAGACCTCCCAGCTCCCTTGTCCCTCAGTGACTCCCTGCCTATGCCGTATCACTTCCACCCTCAGATTTTCCTCCCTTACTCTTTAGAGGAGCTGGAGGGAGGAAGGTCTGTTTTTTATGTCCGCTTGATACTGGAGAAGGCATTGTCCCTGCCTCTCCAGGGAATGAAAATCCCTTGCTGTTCAATCTAGAGACTCTAACAAGCTGAAGGATTGCTATCAGCTGTCAGGTCAAATGTCCCCACAACCCCCTCAATCTGCCTTTTTTTTGTTTGTTTTTTAAATATTGTATTTATTTATTTCAGAGAGTAATGGGCAGACAGAGGGAGAGACAGATAGGTCTTCCATCTGCTAGTTCACTCCTGAAATGGCTACAACAGCCAGAGGTGGGCCAATCTGAAGCCAGGAGCCAAGAGCTTCTGAGTCTCCCACGCAGCTCTCAGCCTCAGATTGACTGGAGGGTCAGCTGCTGTGTTTGGCTGAGGTTCACTTGCTTGGATACAAGAGTATGTCCATAGGTTCAGTTACAGTTTCTTTGCTCATCAAGCTAGGTTACCATTAGCCATGTACATTGGCCGCTATCATTCAATTATGCAGCTGGTTTAGGTCAAATTTATTTTGGTTAAACATGCACAAAATGGAATCTACACAACGATATGAAAAATTGAACTTACTGATATAAGTGACAGCATGAATAGATGGTAAAGGTGTTACACCAAGTGAAAGTCAGACACAGGTGTTTATAAATGGTCTGAGTCAGCATATAGAGACCTAGATGTAGAATGATGGAATGCAGATCAACAGCTGCTAGAGTTGGGGATGAGGGCACAATGGAACAGTATGAAGTGATTGGAATGTTCTGGATCACAGTTGTGGTAGTGGTTACATGACATATACACTTGCCAGTACTCATGGAAAGTACTGTCCTTACAACTCATGGTGAATTTTAAGAGGGTGATTGCCTTTTGCACTCTTATTTATTATTATACTGGAGCTTCTACTTAGTGTCAAAAGGCAAGATATTTCACATAAAAAAAGTATTGCAATTAAGAAATAAAAGTTTCTTTCCACAACTGTTTAATATATTTATTCAAATATGTTCATTGTGACTCCAAACATGGATGTTCAGTTTCCTGACCCAGCCAGTCATGGTCCTTGACTTAATCAGCTGTATTCTACTTGTCTTCTCTATTTACCATAGCAGCTTGTAGTTTATTAGACTACTTAGTAATGTAAATAAATTACTTATTGTTGATTTCAGTCCATTATAGCTGAGCATATGAGGACAGATTAATTTTTATGCTTCATAGACTGATGTATCTATCCCATGTATCTTGCAATGTGCCTGAAATATGTAGGTTATATAAAAACATTTATTGAAATACCTAACAAATATGACAATACAGACTTAAAGTTAATTTACACCATTATAGATACTCTTTCTAACTCTGCTAACTTATTCTCTCTTGTTTCACTAACCTCAATGCTCTCTGGAATAGAAAAGAATCATAATGGGGGGGGGGGGCTGGCGCTGTGGCGCAGCAGATTAACATCCCATATGGTCACCGGTTCAAGACCTGGCTGCTCCACTTCCATCCAGCTCTCTGCTGTGGCCTGGGAAAGCAGTAGAAGATGGCCCAAGTCCTTGGGCCCCTGCACCTACATGGGAGACCCGGAAGAAGCTCCTGGCTCTGGCCGTTGTGGCCAATTGGGGAGTGAACCAGCTCCTCCCCCTCCCCTCCCCCTCTTCCTCTCCCTCTCTCTCTCTGCCTCTCTTCTCTCTGTGTAACTCTGACTTTCAAATAAACAAATAACATCTTTATAAAAAAAATTGAGAAGAATCATAATTTGGAACAAACTTTTGAATTCACAAAAAAAAAAAAAAACCTTGGCTAGGTAGGTTCTTCAGTTTCCTTCTCCCACATATTAGATCTGTGTCTAGATCTGCTCATCTTCTACTGGGATTCTATTTGTTTGTATCAAAAGTAAGTTTCCCCTGGTGTTTTTCTGCCTTTCCTTTGTATATCTTCATTATTCACTTTTAATAGGTTTTGGGAACTTGCATCATTCACACACTATCTCAGAGTTAATCTCAACTCCCTGTGCACTCATTGTAACTACAATTGCAGGTGAAGTGATAATCACTTTTGAGAAAGCAGATGAGATCATAGAATCCCAAACTTTTATCTCAGGTACAGGGACTCACTCTCCGCACCTGCACAGATTCTGTCCTGGCACCCTCTGTCCACAGACAACTCTACACTTTGTAAGTAGCATATGTTTTTCAGATAACTACAGATTCTTAGAATTTACCTCTGGAAATTCAGGAATATTTTCTTCTTTAAAAAAAAAACAGCCTTCTGAGGCTGGAATTAGAAATCACTTGTAAACAATAATCAGATGGAAAGATGATCACTTTACCCATATGCAGTAAATTTCAAAATAATTGCAGATCATTAAAACTATAGTATTATAATCTTAACCATTGGCTTGACAAAAATATAAAACAGAATTTGACAAAACTGTGTTTGCAATGGAGCAGTAAGCCCTTGATTAATATCAGTAAAAATTTTATCTCAAAAACTAAAAAAGAAAGAAAAAAGAAAGAGGGCTAGGTGGAGGGGGAAATATTCCATTCTTAGAATTTAAAAAAGTACGTGAGAAATGTTTTTAAAAGTCACTAAAAAGCCATTTGTAGATGGTATCTAGCTAATTAACTAGATAGATAATTGTTAGAAGCAAACAGGTCTGGACAAGATGTTTATGGAGGAATCTGTAGCCTTCTCACCACTGTCGTCCAAATGCCACACCACTGCCTGACATCTCCCCTCTCACCTCCAGATCAATTCTTCTCAAACATCTCTTAATTTGTCCCTTACTAAGCACAAAGTCCCAGTAGCATCCATGCTAAAGGCTTTAGGGCATAGGAATGTGGGAGTAGTAAGATAATGAATAAAGTTTCATATCTGTGTGATACTCTCTGGTGTGTGTTTAGTGCATTTTGTTCTATTTTATGCTGGGGCATATGGTAGTAAATGCAGTCCTTAACAGCATGTCTCTAAGTTGTAAACCCAGGTACTCCAGAGCAAGATGCAGGCATCTTAACTGCTGGGCTAAATGCCTGCTTCAGTTTCTTATTTTTAACAAACAAGTTGAGCTTCAAGTCTTTGGAATCACTATTCCTTTGGTAATTAAATTATGTTTCCCCTGAAAATAAGCTGGGGCTTCTGGGGTATCCTTAAAAAGGCTGGAAGTTTGTTGTGGAGTGGGAGTCATAGTTACGGCTCATATGTCATTGTGAAGTGGTGGAAGACGGTGTACATAAAATGAGACAGAGTTGTAACACCACCTGTCAGTGATGTGGGTTCCAAGACACAATGAATTGAGGTCTGTTGTAGAGACCTTGTGGCTGTGTGGGTATTCCTTTAAACTGGTTCCACTGAATGCAGCTTTCTACTCTTTGTTATGAATGATATCCCATATGAGCATACATACACTTTTTCCTTTGTGCTTCTTGTGTTCCCTAATATATCAACCACATTGAAACATTCAACTAGTGTGATTGTGGTATCCTGAGTCGGACGCAGGCATCTGTGTCCCTTACGCTGAGCTGTAGAGAGCTGTAACACCGCTGCACCTGCATTCACTTGGTGGCTTTCCCACAGAGTACTCAAGCTGTTTCCAGTGCAGATCTCCTTGAGTTGTCTTTGCACAGATAAGCACAAAATCTTTTTTTCTAAAGACTGTTTATGTTCTTTTTCTTTTTAAAATTTATTTGGAAGGTAGAGTTACAGAGAGGCAGAGGCAAGAGCCAGAGAGAGAGAGAGAGAGACCTTTCATCCGCTGGTTCACTCCCCAAATGGTCGCAACGAGCTGATCAGAGCTGGGCTGATCAGAAGCCAGGAGCCAGGAGCTTCTTTCAAGTCTCCCATGTGGGTGGAGGGGCCGAGGACTTGGGCCATCTTCCACTGCTTTCCTAGGCCATAGCAGAGACCTGGATTGGAAGTGGAGTAGCCAGGTCTCAATATGGGATGCTGGCGCTTCAGATGGAAGTTTACTCGCTACAGCACCAGCTCTGTAAGTACAAAATTTTAATTCCTGGTTAAAGTGAGAAAATATAATTCAGATAAGAACCAACGCTGAAAACTGTCTCCAGTGATGGAAAGACATTTTTTTCCTTTTATCTCTACTGACTTCTCTGACTGCAATTAAAGTTAGCATCTCCTAGGTTTGGAAGCAATGGCTTCTGGAAAGTTGGAAATAGGGATTGTCTTCTTCATTCAAACTGCAGTTGGGATCCTGGGGAATCTCTTCCTTCTTTGTTTTTATAATTTCACCTTGCTCACTGGTCACAAGTTGAGACCCACAGACCTGATTCTGAACCAGCTGACCTTAGCCAATTCTTTGGTCCTTTTCTCCAAAGGAATACCTCAAACAATGGCAGCTTTTGGATTGAAATATTTCCTGGATGACACTGGATGTAAACTTGTGTTTTATAGTCACAGGCTAGCCACGGGGGTTTCCTTCAGCACTGTCTGCCTCCTCAATGGATTCCAGGCCATTAAGATTGACTCCAGTGTGTGCAAGTGGATGGCATTCAGATTCAGATCCCTGAAGTTCATTGGCTTCTGCTGTTTCCTCTGCTGGATCCCACATCTCCTGCTAAGCACATGTATTCTTGTAATAGTGAATGGCCCACTGGATAGCAAAAGCCGCCGGGGGGGAAATAGCTCTGCATACTGTTCCTGGACAATGCCAGAGAACAGCTCAGTGTACACTGTCATATATTTTTCCCCCGATTTTATGAGTTTGGCCTTCATGCTCTGGGCTAGTGGTACTGTGGTCTTTGTCTTACACAGACACAAGAAGCAGGTCCAGCACATCCATAGCCACAGACGCTCTTCCAGACCCTCCCCCGAGGCCAGGGCCACATGGACCGTCATGATCCTGGTGAGCTCGTTTTTCGCTTTTTACTCAGTCTACACCATCATGACCGTTTGGATGACTTTAGTGGCAAACCCTGGCCAGTGGATGGTGAACAGCTCTGTGCTTGTGTCATCGTGTTTTGTGGCATTCGCTCCTTTCGTGCTCATCATCAGTGACACCCGTGTACATCAGTTTTGCTCTGCCTGCTTGCCGAGGAGAACAAGTTTTCCCAATCCGGTTGCTGTGCCATGAGTCTATTCTCTGGACTTCAGTTACTGATTTCAACAATTGCTAAACTTCAGGGACTCTTAAGTGCTACTGATTTATAATGTCAAAGCAAGCATGGGTAGTACTGTCCCTGTCCACAGGGATCTTACAAACAGGCCTGAAAATCAACACTGTGTGTACTCTGAGGCAGTGAACATGCAATGCAACCATGTTAGTTTCTACACCGATGAATTTCTGGAAATTTCAAAATAGAGTAATGACAGGAAGATTTTTTTGTTGTTGTTTAAAGATTTAAGGGAATTCTTGTATTTTGTACTATGAATAATCACAGATGATCTTAAATATTTGTGAAGCATGGTTTTATTCAGGTGCTCCTTACATTGCACAAGTTGCCTGGAAAGACTTTAAGTTAGAAATATGTGTGCAGCCTCATGGCACAGAGGATAATCCTGAGAGATATGCAGAGATTGCAAGGATGTGAAACTGGAAGGGAACATGATGAGTGCTCTGGTTGAAAGTTCAGGGCTATAAAACCTAAACTTCTTGAGAAAACTTACAAGCAGAGATAAATCAGTGACTAAAAATGTAAATCCTTACAAAAATTATTTTGAAAATGTTTAATTAAATGATGAATGTGTTTTTTAATAGTAATACTGTAAATATTTATTTTTTAAAGATTTGTTTATTTGAGAGGCAGAGTTACAGACAGACATAGGGAGACACACATACACACACAAAGAGAGAGAGGTCTTCTATCTGCTGATTCATTCCTCAGATGGCTGCAACAGTCATGCACTGGGACATTGATCCATTGTTGGCTTGTGCCATTACCTGTTCCTCACAGAGTAATGGGCTGCCCCTTTATCTCCAGATGTGTGGAGATCCAGAGGTTCACACACACCGGGCCATGATCCTGGAGAGGTTGGAGAGCAGTGCAAAAGGCTCTCCTTTTATCCTTGCTGCTCTGAAGGGGGAGTCTCCAGTAGGGGTCCCAGTGTCACCAATCAGTTGTGTTCCTCTTGGAGTTTCCTGGGGTGCCACTCACCTGTTGTTTAGGACCAGGTGTTTCCAGCTCATTCTTGGGGTGCATCCAATCATTGTGCGAGTAGGAAGGGAACTGGAGGTTATCGCCCATAGCTCACACATTATCAGACTGCTGAGGGATGTCTGTTCAGTCTGATGAGGAGCATCCTTGGCAAGCATCAGCATAAATGATGTCATCAGTCTCTGGCTTGACATGAGTGACTCCATTTTTCTTTACTTTCACTTTGCGGATAGTGGTATTTTTTGACTCTAGAATTTTCTGGAGTTTCCACAGTTCACCTCCTTCTGCTGGTCAGGTAAGTGGTGATCTGTGACTCTATTTTTGGGACTCGTGTGGTATTCCCCACACCCTCCCTCCTTCCCCCCTCCCCACTTCTCTCCCTTCAGTTCTCCTTCTTTCTCTGTAGCTCTTTCACATCAATAATCCTTATAAATAAATAATAAAATTAGTTGTCATCATTTATGTTGATTTGGCCCTTGCTATACCTGTAGTATTTTATTGGCATATTGTAGCTGAACATAAAAATAAACTGCAGACATTGAAACTGCATAGTGGCACGGTGTCTCTGAATTCTGTTGGGTGTGGCCCTACCAGCAGTTTGTGTGCTGTGTCGGTTGCCATGCGCACTGCTGTTGTTCAACTCCATGGGTCCTTTGCTGGGCAGAGGAGTCAGGGCACAACCCTGAGGCAGTCAGTGAGTCAGCTGACTCTGTCCTACACTTCGTGCCATTTTAGAGTAAAACTTAAAAGGATATCTTGCTGGACCTGGAAGTCAGCGAAGCAAACTCGAAAATGGTGTTCTATGCTTATGGCTGCTCTGAATGGGCCATGAAAGTTCACTGAGGTTCCCAGCCATAGGCCAACACAGAATGTGGACATGTACCGGTGTTGTGAGGGTGGAATCTGGGTGAATTTATAATGTCTAATCCGAGGTGCAACTGGAGGTTATGTGATTAAACATTCACACATTTTATGCACCTCTTTCACATGTAAATGCAGTGTTTTTGTTCTCCTGTATCTTGAAATTGGAATATCTGTGTTATCTCATCCACAGAAATTAAGTCCATTGAAGAACCCAAGGAAGCCGACTTATATGAGTAAGCCCTGAACTTGAAGAGGGATAGAGCCTTGTGAAGAATTTATTTCTGCCCCTCAGATTAGACTGCTTCTCTACATCCTTGTGTCACCTTGTATCAGATACATATTGCAAGGGCACATATGGCACATGCAGCCCTATACTCTACATTAGGTGGAGAGATATCAGGAGAGTGGAACAGTAAGGAAAAGGAAGACAAAGAAAAAGGAGAAAAAGAAGGATTTAGAGAGGGGAGGAAGAAGGAGGCAGGGTGAACAAATAGGAGGAGGAGCAAAAGAATAGGAAGAGAGGAAAGAGGAAGAAAGGAAGTAAAAGCAGCTGCAGCTAAGGTGTTGTCAGAGCTGGTTAAGCCCTGCCTGCAACACGGCATCCCATATGAGCACTGCCCCCAGTCTTGGCTGCTCCACTTGTGATTCAGCTCCCTGCTAATGGCGCCTGGGAAAGCAGCAAAAGATGGGCCATGTGGTGGGCCCTGCCACCCCTGTCGGAGACCTGGAAGAAGTTCCTGGCTCCTGGCTTTGGCCTGGTCAGCCCTGGCCATTGTAGGCATTTAGGGAGTGAACTATCGGGTAGTGGGTTTCTCTATCTCTTTCTCTGTAACTCTTCATCCCAATCAATGATTAAAAAAAAAAAGAAAGAAATTGCTATCATATTCAAAATGAGTATGAAGTGAAAAATGGGACAAGACTATATTAGAAAGCAGAAAGCTAGAAATGATAAATGTTAGAAATTAGACTGATTGGTTATTGGTTGAGGGGATGGCCCACAACACACTGGTAAGCTGACACTTTGCTTTCCTTGATTTAGGCCTGGTTTCAGAGATGCCTTGACGTAAGGGAAATTCACTGAAATGCACAACTATGATGTATTCATTTTTCTGAATGTCATACATGAAAGTGTTAAGTCATGCTATGTTGATACTAGGGGAAAGCTGTGTATTTGTGGGGAGAGGAATACATGGAACACATCAATAGTTACCCTCAGTTTTGCTGTAGAGCTAAAACTGCTCAAACAATTAAAGCTTTAATTGAAAAATACGTGCCAACAGACTTCCAGTGGACACGCTTATACTCCCATGATTGCTGGCCATTTTCATTCACAAATGAGCCTTTTCTCTTCACAGTTCTCTCCAGTTCATATAAACTCATTTCATATTTTCTTCTGCAAATAGGATATGACAAAATTCCAGTATTTCCTCGGTAACAGGATAAGTGGGGCTGCAAATGTGTCCACCCCATTTTCTTTTCTTTTTTTTTAAATTAAAATATTTATTTATTTATTCGAAAGGCAGAGTTACAGAGGCCGAGGCAGAGAGAGGGAGAGAGAGATAGGTCTTCCATCTGCTGGTTCACTCCCAAGATGGACACAGTGGCCAGAGATGAGCTGATCCAAAGCCAGGATCCAGGAGTCTCTTCAGGGTCTCCCATGTGAGTGCAGGGGCCCAAGGACTTGGGCCATCTTCTACTCCTTTCCCAGGCCATAACAGAGAGCTGTATCGGAAGAGGAGCAGCTGGGACTCAAACCAGCGCCCATATGGGATGCCAGCACTGCAGGTGGTGGCTTTACCCACTACGCCACAGTGCCGGCCCCCACCCCATTTTCCTTCTTCACTCATGTCTGTAGAAGAGCAGCCCTCCTGCACCAAATGGGCTCTACATTCTTTGTCCACTTGAAATCTAAATTTCTTCTGTGTCTTGTTTCCTGGATTAATCCCATGAGCAAGGTAAATATTCTCTCATACCTGCTCTCTTGAAAGAAAAAGTCTCTCTTTTTTGTAAGATTTTATTTATTTATTTTGAGAGGTAGAGTTACAGACAGTGAGAGGGAGAAACAGAAAGAAATGTCTTCCATCCGTTGGTTCACTCCCCAAATGGCCGCAACGGCCGGAGCTGTGCCGATCCCAAGCCAGAACCAGGAATTTCTTCCTGGCCTCCCATGTGGGTGCAGGGGCCCAAGGACTTGAACCATCCTCTACTGCTATCCCAGGCCACAGCAGAGAGCTGGATTGGAAGAGGAGCAGCTAGGACTAGAACCGGTGCCCATATGGGATGCCAGCGCCACAGGTGGAGGATTAACCTATTGTGCCACGGCGCGGGCCCCAGGAAAAATCTCTTCTATCCCTTTTGCCTACCTATGTTCTACTTCGAGATCTTTGTAATTTCACACTTCCACCCCACCCTCACTGCCCTGCTGCCCCCCTCCCCACCGTCTATCCCTTTAAATCTTGTATGCTCAATGCTAAATCTAATGGGCAACTCTGCATCTTTATGTCCTTTAATCCTCCAAGAATTTTTAATAAAATTGGTCAGTATTTCCAAGAATCTTTTCTGAGCTCCAGAATCAAATTTCCAAAATTTCACCTGAAATCCAATTTTGCTTCTCTGATAGATATCTTAATGTACCCAAACAAGGTTAACCCCAAACCTAATCCTACCTTAGTCTTTGATCTCCGTGAAAACACCATAAAGTTTTCAGTTATTTAAAAAAAGATTTAGCCAATATCTATCTTGGAGCCATCCTTTTTCCTATGTTTCAGTCAATGCTGTTAGAGTCCGAAAACGCCCACCACCCGAGGAACGTCTCCAAAAGACATCTCTCATGCAAATTGCAAAATTTTTTTTTTCCAGCATGCTGGGGCTCTCTGATCAGACCAGAACAGAGCAGCCCCGAGGAACTAAAGTATAGGGTTTATAAAGGCAAAAACCGCAAGATCGTGGGGGGGGGGGGGGATACATGGTTGCTATACACGGTTGCTAAGATCAAAAGAGAGTACATAAAATCAAAAGAGAGTACATAGTTACTGGGGTCAGCATAACCTAAGACCTAAGTGAAATAAATATTCATATAATCTTGACAATACCAGTTACAATCATACAATTATCA